TACATCGAATGATGCCAATTTTTACTAACATTCACATTTTGATCAAAATGTTATTTTGTTCTTTGATGTTGCTTTGTTTTGTGTAGAAGCGAATTAAATTTCATTGTAATTATATACATCTTTTGATATGATCTAAATGTTATGTGATATTTTGTGACAACTTTATAGAGTCCATTTGTTTAAAGGTAGAGGTGGTTGTTATTATCATGGAAGTATTATATTGACAGGAACTCCAACGAAAAATTAGCACATTCCCATCCCACTGATTTCTTTAAGAAAATAAAAGGTTCCGACTCAGTTTGTCAAGTACGTGATAACTCCTTTGTGGGGTATCTGTGATGCCGCCTTCGCCTGTTCTTTTAACTTTAGCTGGTCTTATCACGTGATTTGGTATCGATTGTCTTATCTACCTACCAATGTAAATAAACACGGAAACTCCCGTGGTTATTTGTGAATCGCCACATGAATAACAACACCTGTTTCCGTTCAATAAATGAAGAACAAAGCTGAAAAGATCGAAAAAATCGGTCCATAGTTAACAGAATGACATAAGAAAATTAACTGCATTCGGAAAGAGGGCAAGCTTATTTTTAGTTTTGTTGAGTATGTTTTAATCATTTGAACTTGGAAATCGGGAAATATCCGATTAGAAAATTACATGATTCTGAAGTAGAGTGTTTGCAAAAAATAATGTGATGCGCGTGTAGTGTGCCGGATGGTGCCGGATAACTCAAATTTTACATTTAAAGATTGTAAACTTTTATCGAGTGTAACACAAATATTTATGGTTTTCTCTATCGTAAAATATCGTAAAATGTTATTAACTTATTTATCAAATATTTTTTAAAGACTAAAAGAGGTTAATAATTACACGCATGTGATGACCTCTACATAGCAATATCAGGTTACGAGACATGCAGATGAATTGTTACACCTTTTATAATAATTCCAAAGTTGTAAACAACCTTAAACATTCAACCTAGTCCGAGATTACTCTGACGTCTGACAGATTTATTTTTACGGATGGCTTTAAATATTTCTGGATGCATTTAAAGAACGATCACCATGATGGGCCCTAAGCAGTTTATTTTTTTTTTATCATGGAAACCAAATTAGAATTTATTTATGTGTTTAAAAGCTTAACAGTTCTGAAACATCTTACACCGTGTGCTAAGCAATTTATGATTTTGTTTCTTGTTTAATTGCATGAAATATTTGCCATTGGACTTTCAGTAAACAATAAATCAAAATATTTGATATTTTTTCGGATCAAAGCTCTTTAACGCCGTCCCCCCCCCCCCCCCCCCCCCCCCCCGGCCAACTTTTGGATTAAATTTTTGTTGGAAATTCTTTCATTAAACACTTCAGTAAAATATTTGTCAAAGTTAGCAGTAAAACGCGATAATAATTACTGATAAAAACTTTTCCGTTTACTTTACATGAGAATTTTATGATTTTCAAGCCTAACTTGTATATAACAGTAATGCGTGTTTAGGCAACGGCACTCTCATGAATAAATCTTACTATTTTAAAATTGATTGTAACTTAAACTGAAATGTGTATGGCTTGCGAGTATTTTTACTCTTCAGTTTTTTTTTTTTGTCTTTTTAATCGGTGAAAACAGTCGCGGGGATTTCGTTTCGTTTCTTTTCTTTTTATTTGTTTTTAAGCAGCAAAACCCGTAAAAACTGACATTATATTTGTCATTCACATGGTCGGTAAATGTCATTTCCTTGACAATTAAGTACACATCCGGTTATTTCGGTATGTTCCGAAATTACGATCATTCACGAGGTTCCAAAAATTTTATCGGAACCCATGCATCCATAAGACAGTCGAGTTAATTAACAGATACTTAACGATTTTGCGGCATCGCACTATAAACGTTTGAAGTCCGCTTGTTGGAGTTCCTGTCAATATAATACTTCCATGTTATTATGTATTATAATGTATACTTAGAAATTTTGATTAATATTTTTCCGAGAGGGAATCTTATATTCATAATTTTATTTGTTCCTAATATTCATGTTAATATTGATGAAAAATCACTGAACTTTTTTTTTTTAATTAAGTAGACCATTATTTGAGTCTAAAAAATTGGGGTGTGTGCTTAAATTATCGTTATATAAAAGTTTCATTGCCATATGAAGGACTAATTTGATAACTAGTATTTGAAAGGTTTTGATTTGAGCAAAAATTAGCAATTTTTGTACTTATTGAGTAAGTACTGAGGCAAGGAACAAGTTTGTCAGAAAATGATTAGGTTTTTGCTTTATTGTTGAATCAAAAAGTGATGTCACAAATAGATAGTTTTCCAATAAAAAAAAGTTGGAGTTATTTCCCTTGGTCACCAATATTGGAGGGAAAACTGCTCAAGATTTTCTTATTTGACTAACCAAATTTACACATGTGGTACAAGCACATCTGGTACAAGATCCTTATAGATTGTAGTGATGAATTAAAAAAAAACTTACTTTTTCCTAAAGTCTAGTAGTTAGTATATAAAAGATCTTATGCAATTTGGCCTCCAATATGACAGCAAAGGGAAATAACTCAAATTCATCATTGAAAAACTATATAGATTTTAATAATTGTGGAGCTCGAGTATCATTGAATATATTTATGCCCCCGCCTTTGCGGAGGGGGCATTAAGTTTTACCCTTGTCCGTCTGTACGTCCGTCCGTGCGTCCCAAAATTGGTTTCCGTTCTCTAACTTTAGTTTGCCTCAACCAAATGTTATGAAACTTATACACAATGCTTATTACCACAAAATACAGATCAAGATTGAATTTTGGAGTTGTCACTTTAACCATTCTAGAGTTATGCCCATTTACAAATGGAAAAATTGCTGAATTTTTCATTTCCATTCTCTAAAGTAAGTTAGACTCAACCAAATGTTATGAAACTTATACACAATGCTTATTACTATAGAATACAGGTCAGGTTTGAATTTTAGTGGTTTCAATTTAGCCGTTCTAGAGTTATGCCCCTTTACAGAAATAAAAATTGCTGAATTTTTCGTTTTCGTTCTCTAACTTAAGTTTGCCTCAACCAAATGTTATGAAACTTATACACAATGCTTATTACCATAAAATACAGATCAAGTTTGAATTTTGGAGGTGTCACTTTAACCGTTCTAGAGTTATGCCCCTTTACAGATGGGAAAATTGCTGAATATTTTGTTTCCGTTCTCTAACTTAAGTTTGCCTCAGCCAAATGTTATGAAACTTATACACAATACTTGTTACTACAAAACTCAGATCAATAAGAAATTTTGGTAGGGTCACTTTTATCGTTCTTCAGTTATGTCCCTTTAAAACTTTATATGATATGCAAGCGGGGGCATCATCTGTGTCCCATGGACATATTCCCCATTTATTTTTAATAAAGTTTGTACTTTAGAACAGAGTTAGAAGGCAGTTGTTCAAAACTCTTCCTTAAAAGTAAAGGTTATACTTATATCTGCCATCTTAATACCTCAACAATTTAGATTTGTTATTTTAACTATGTTTAACTACCTCTATTGCAGAGCTGTACAGTATTACCATTGTTGAAATCCAAGGTTTTAAAATTTAATGATAGGAAAATTATTCTGATGTACAATGTTCAAAATTGCATGAGGAAATCAATTAGAACTAGACATTAAAATATAATTTTGTATAGGCATTTTAAATAAGATAAATTAAATTTGTTATGTTGGGACCTTTGATAGCTTGCTTTGTAGTATGTTTTTTGCTCATTGTTGAAGGCTGATTGTAAATCATAGTTGCTAACATTTACATCATTTGGTCTCTGATGGATAGTTGTTTCTTTGGCATTCATACCACATCTTTTTATATTACATAAAAATGTAGATTAGGTTAGACAAGGAGATCAAATTAAGATTGTGTATATTATATTTTTATACATTCCAGTTCAATATGAGTGATTTTATTGTCAGATACTCATGTATGTATTCCTCATCAACCAAGAAAATAAATTGTTATGTTGATATTATTCTTTTAGTTTTTCTTTATCCATTTACAATTAAATTTCAGTTTGTCATCCTTCATTCCCTTTCTTTTGATATCATGTTATTTTTTTTATACAAGAGTTTGTTCAAAATTCAAAGCAATTTTATGAAATTAAGCATACAAAAATTTAATTGCCTCTCTCTCCTTTATTTTTGTGATGTTCTTCTAGATTGCACTATTTATAGATAGTACAAAACTACTAGATTACATAATCTTAATAAAGGTTAGCTTGTTTTGTTCATGCATTGATTTTTTGCTAAGAGACCTAAGAGAACAGGGAGTGATAAGGACTGAAAGAAAAAAGAGGAAAATACAAATCACCAAACTAAATAAAAAACAGACAAATTCTGTAACGTTTGATCTGAATACATATGTTTTTAAAAGTTTATATTAACAATTACCAGCCAGAAACTAAAATATACAAGTTATTCTAACATTAGTTTTGATTGGACATAACAATTTCAAGTAATATATTATGGATCTAAACTCTGCAGAAGATGTTGGTTCATATTTCTTAGGGATTTTTACAAGCAGAATTCATTCTGTGCAACAAAATAGGAATAAAAGTAATGTTTTTAAATACTTGATTGATTGATTTTTGCAGTTTAATGCAACTTTCAGCACTATTACACTCACAAAGCAACTTCTTTTTAAATGACACCCAAATAATGCCAAATTAGCTCTGAACCAGTGAAAATGGGTATATTTATATTTACTACCACTCAATGAATACATTTATCAAATTTCTGTTGTGTTAACATTTGAAGAGTCTAGAAATGTATACAGTTCAGAAAATAGAAAGTTCCGCATGGTACTTATACCAAAATATTCCCCATGGTTTAACTTCCATAAAGAAATAAAAATCATTCTACAAACTAGCAGAAAAAACAAGTCAAACAGGAATATTAATCTGTGTTTGAAAGGAAGGAGGAAGTTATTTAAGTACATGTCTACTTTCTAATGAAAATAATACTTTTCTTTTTCAGTCACCAAAGGACAAGTCTCCAAGACACTACGAGAACCGTGGACTGGATGAACCACACACAAGAGGCTACAATTCCGACCCTAGAGGTCGTAGCAACCCAGGAATGGATAGGTCATTTGATGATGTAAGGGATGGCAATATGAAGTCCAGCCGAGGCCCAATGATGGGATCAAATGCCTCATTTGGATCTGCGGTGTAAAATGATGATGTAATAGGATTTAACAAATTAAACTAACACAGAAATGATTATAAAGGGGTTAGAAGGATACTAACAAAGACTGATATTGGACTACTGAGTCAGGCCAAGGGATTGCACAGCTTGATAATGTTCATTTTGAAGTAATTTCATAAATTTCAAGTTGGCATGTTAGTCCCTGCTTCCTTTCTTTGACTACTTTCAATTTCAAATATAAATTGGTAAAAATATTTCAAACACAAGATGTCTATTTTTTGGTGAGGTTTCAACACTCTTATTCTAAAATATTTGTGTAATTTTGTTGTTGACACAACTTCATTTCTTGGTAGCAAAAAATGATTTAAAGGAAAATCAGACTTTGAATACCTATAAAACCTGAAAACAGTCTTTTTGCTCTTAACTGTAAGATGTAAAATTGTGATAATGAGTTTATAAGATACAATTCAATATTAGGTAGGCAAGGCAAAGCCAGTATACTATCAAAAGTAGTTTAGGACAAACCATATGATATACCGGTATTGTTGCTTTAGATTTATATTTGTACAGCATATTGTATTACTTGTACAAAACTACCGTATAGCATGTACATTCAAGATATTTGTTTGAATCTTTGTTGATTGTTAGTGATTATGTTACCCTGGTAACAAGTTTGATTGTTAAAACATTCCAATATTTGTACAAAACCATTTTATGATTGAAGGCAGCAAAATGACAGTTGTGAATGAAAAGGCTCATATCTATTCTTATTGACATATTTTTCGCCATTAAAAAATCCTTAAAGAGGACAGTAAAGTGTAGTTACAAAAAATTTTTGGTTAAAAAGCAAAAGCAAACCATTTACTAGCTAGATAAACAACCTTGGTCAAAAATGAGCAATGTAAACAAAACTTTGAAATGAACCTCATTTGTAGAAACTCAAACCTAACATTTGTAGATTGTAGCATAACTTGATTGTCCTATTTATAAACATATCATTGCCATAATTCTGCGGGTTGAATTTATATTATACATTTATTTACTGTACATTATTGGAAGTGCAATTAGCATGAACTTTTATGTAGATTTTTATCATTCCAATTAAGTGCTTATAAAAATTACAGAATTTATATATATTTTTACTTGGAGAGAAACAAATTCTGCATGTATGCTGTTCATGATGACTAAAAAAAAGTTTCTATTATTTTAATTATAGTTAGTGTTAAGCCATCATACCTCATCCATTTTGAATCTAAAGGGACAAATATATGAAGACTTTTTAGGGGGTTATTCAAATGTTTTCTGTGCATTGCAATTGTTCATTATATTAAGAGATGCTTTACAGTCAATTATAAATTCTAATGCAATTATTTTGTATCAATGGTTCTGATTAGATGACAATAAGCGTAAAATTCTCTATCTCCCTGTCTAACTAAGGAAGCCGACATTTTGAATACTGGAATGTATTGACATGTGATTTCTTCAATAATAAGCCAAAAAAACTCACATTTTGCACCTAGAAATCTTCTTTTTATCAAGTTTATTACATTCTGAAGCGGACAAGAAGCCAGAAAATGTCCAGTGTTTACGTTTGATGCCGGAAGCATACCTATGACATCACCTAGTTTAGGCGCCAAAGAAGATAACATCATTTCGCGGAATTTTCGTTTAATGAATATTTTACACTGAAATAATGACTAAACTTGAATGATTTGTTTATTTTGCATTAGAATAGAGATAACTGTATTGTATTTGAAGCTTTGCGGACATCCATCGGTAGTTTTACTGTTGCAAATATCCTTTTACCTGTCTCCGCTACACGTCGCCAGGTAAACTAAATTTGCGACAGTAAAACTACTGATGGACGTCCGCAAAGCTTCAAATACAATACAGTTACTTTAAATTGGTCTGATGTCAATTCCTAGATATAGTTTTAGTTTTAAGATTGTCTGTGTTAAATTTGGTATGTCCCATTTAAAAAGCTGTGTTAGTAGTTATACGGGTGAATTGGTATTTAATTTGAGATACTATAGATCTGACAAAAAATTGTTTTTTTTATATAATTAAAGTTTTCCCATCTAGAAACAAAGGCGAAGATGCATTTCAGAGCTTTTTCAAACATATAGATTTGTCAGAAATGGAAAAAAATTATTTATTATACAATTAATTATCCCAGTTTTAAGTCCACAATAAAGGCTTTCAGAAAATGTAACTTTTATAGGCTTGATTGTATAATTTTGGTGTAATGTCTTTAATGAAACTTCTTAAAGGACATATGTCAGTTTTTTCACCATAAATAGTAAAATCTAAGGAACATTTTGGTTAAATTGAAAGGGGCACATGCTTCACCTAAACATTTTTAGTCAGTGAATACATAACACAAAATGTACTTCCAATATTTATATCTTTACAAAGATTGTGCTCTTTCTTATTTCTCTATATGCACAAGTTGGTATACATTCTCTGTTATTTCAGCATTTCTCTAAATTTACTTTTATTTCATGAGTGTATCACACATGGAAAGGAAGTGTTTCAAACCAAAACTGCCATAAATCTATTAAAGTACATACAATCAACGTTTTATTTTACAAATCGAATACATTGGATTGTATGACCAGTTCGACCCTAAGTCATACATACTCTGTTACAGTTAATATGGATAGATAAAGACTTGAAAGATTAAAAAGGGAAAATATTGAAGACAAAAATGAAAAGTAGCATTCAAATATTAATTATTATGATAAATAATTCATGATAGGAATATAAAATGGTTGGAAAAAATAACAAATGGAAGACAATTTGTCTATTAATACAATTTATTTGAATCATATAAATTAGGCTTTCACTGTAGTTGATAAATGATGTAATTTACAAAAAAAATGTGTTATAAATATTATATAATAGTAGGTAATTATTTCTTTTGATTATTTGTATCTCTCCACAATCAAGACACAATTATATTTTAGTAGTTAGACGTAATGGGTTGTGATTTTGTAATTAGCAAATCCATGTCATTGTACATAGAAACATTATAGCAATCAAATTTTTATATATTTGTATAATTATGTCCATTTATTCTGTGATTTATCTTAACATTATGCAACTACCTTTTCATCTAAGTCATATTGACTATAAATCTATATATTTCTATGATCAGTACCTCTTTATATAATGTTCTTAAGGGGAGATTTGATAGGAAACAGTCTTATTTACAGGGGACCTTTTTCACATTCATATCGCTGTAAATATGCTGTATATCTATTTGGTATTCCATCTCCCATGAAAAAAAAATAAAATTAATCATACCCTGTAAATAAGACATACTAATATCTTGGTCCAATAACAAAAAGAAAAAGATGAAATAGTCCATAGCTCTGAAAACCACTGTTCAAAGCACTGAAAATAATGCTGGTAGCTCTTTTAACTACATTGTAAATTTTTTTTATCTCTTCCAACTCCATATTAGTTATCTAGCTTAAATTAGGTTGCAGAGAGTTAACTTAGGAATATTTTTTTAATTTTATGTTTTTTAAGCTATGTGGTTCTGTTATCATCTAATATTTTATGATAATGGCCAGTACCGGTATATTACAACGGTCCTTTTTCAACAAAATCAAATGTTTCATATGTTTCATGATTAACTTGTTTTGAAGGAACACATTTTTTCCAAGTAGGAACAAAGTTAAAGAGCCCTTTTTCCATCGTAAATGTTAACTGGTTCAATATCACAAAGCTAAAATGAATTCAGAAGATAGTTGCAAAATGTTGAATATAAGGTTGTGAATTATCAAATTGTTGAAACTTTATTTTTCTAGAAAAAATTTTCAATTAGTAAGATTAATGTATGAATGAAACATAAAAATTCATATGTATATTTCATTTCTGAATTAACATATACTTCTGAAAAAACACAGTAAATGTTCATAAAAAGACAATTATAAAAAAAAAAACACCAATAGAATTGTTCTGACAGGTTTAAGTTTAACCAAACATTTTTGGTCGAGGCATTAAAAGAAATTTATTTACTCGGGAAAAACAGTAGAATATTTACTCAGGCAGTGTAATAACAATACTCTTTAGGATTTGAGTGAAAGAGTTTCAGGATAATTTTTCCTCTTAAGAGTCAAGATTTGTACACATGTAATGAATATAAACTTTGAACAGATCTCCATTAAAGTTCCCACCTTTATATCAACTTAACTGATACTGATTGCATTGATTCAGTTTAATATCTGTCATGTAAACCAAACATTCTACTGAAGTTGCAATGTGCATTTCCAAAGAAAAAGATCAAGGATGACATTGCTTTGGTAACCTATTTTTATTTCCTACAGAGAAGATGCTATTTTAGTTTGTTGTTGAAAGTGCCAAAGATATCCAAATGTGACCTTATATTCAGTAAATCTTTAAGCTACCTGATATATTACTTTCAAAAGTTGACAGAAACGGATATCGACTTGTAAGTCCTGAAATACACATTTTACGATAGAAAAATCTCACGTTATAGGAAAATATTTGAAATAGAAAAATAAGGAGATGTATATGTGCCATATTTAGAACCTTACATAGGGAGGAGGATTTGTATACTTTTATCATGAGTGTGAATGTGTGTGCATGAGAGAAATTATTGTTAACAATCTATATATATCTTTAATCTTGTTATGATTAGTTGAGAGGTTGAGAGGTTGTGTTATATTTTAATTTTAGAATGTGAAAAAAAACTTTTGAGAATTCAAATTTGTTTTATGTTTACATGTTTATCTTTTTTGTCACCAAAATTATTAAATGAGAAATGGTTGTGTAGATTTAGAATTTTATTCTTCCCTCTCTCTTCCTTTTCTTTTCCACATTTTATTAATTTTTATGAATGAAAGTGTAATTTCTTGTTATTTTGTACACTGCTTTTACAAATAAAATTGTAGCCAATCAGAAAAGAAAATATTATTTTACTGGCAAGAGTTTTTATATGAGAAAGATAAAAGAAAGGATGTATGGAGACAGTAATCCATAACATCCATGGAACAACTATATTTCTGAAGACTGCCTACCGATGTGGAATTTGCTCGCTGTGTTGAAGACCCATTGGTGGCCTTGGGCTGTTCTCTGCTCTTGGTTGGGTTGTTGTCTCTTTGACGCATTCCCTGTTTCCAGTCTCAATTTTATTTATACATTCAGCACAATTGCCTATGTATGGCCGTGTGAAAACTACTGGAAATGATTATCAATGACAGTATTCAAAATCATAATGATATCATACCTAAAACAAATTTATAAAAGGTTCATAATAAATCAAATCTCAACTATGCCCATCTCTAAATAATTTTTTTTACGACTGCAAAAAAATTTTGCGGTCGTATATTGGTATGACGTTGGCGTCGTCGTCGTTGTCGTCCGAAGACACATTGGTTTTCGCACTCTAACTTTAGTTTAAGTGAATGGATCTCTATGAAATTTTACCATAAGGTTCAATACCACAAAAGGAAGGTTAGGATTGATTTTGGGGGTTATGGTACCAACAGTTAAGGAATTAGGGGCCCAAAAAAAGCATTTTTGTAACTTCCAGACATAACTTGTGTGTTAGTGTATGGATCTCTCTGACATTGTACCACAAGGTTCCATATCACAAAGGGAATGCTGGGATTGATTTTGGGGGTAATTGCCTCAAAATTTTAGGAATTAGGGGCCAAAAAACAAGCATTTTTCTAGTTTCATGACAATAACTTGTGTGTAAGTGTATGGATCTTTCTGAAATTGTACTACAAGGTTCCATATCACAAAGGGAAAGCTGGAATTGAGTTTGGGGGTAATTGCCCAAAACGTTTAGGAATAAGGGACCAAAAATAAGCATTCTTCTAGTTTTCCAGACAATAACTTGTGTTCAAGTGTATGGATCTCTCTGAAATTGTACTGCAAGGTACCATACCACAAAGGGAAGGCTGGGATTGAGTTGGGGGTGATGAATCATAAGGGGGTTCAAAAAATTTTGGGGAGGGATTTTTTTTCCTTTTTTTTCTTTAAAATTTTCCATTTTAAATTGGTTAATTCTGATTTATATATAAAAGCAAATAATAATGATATGGTTTGAATAGGTAAATTAAAATTTTTTAAGTTCTTAGACCACATTCATTCTGTGTCAGAAACCTATGCTGTGTCAAATATTTAATCACAATCCAAATTCAGTGCTGTATCAAGCTTGAATGTTGTGTCCATACTTGCCCCAACTGTTCAGGGTTCGACCTCTGCAGTCATATCAAGCTGCGTTCAGCAGAGCATTTTATTGTCATTTAAAAGAAAATTATTTATTTCAAATTTGAAGCAGTTTATTTCAGTATGAGGAGCTAATTTTTAAGATTCAGTAGGGACTGGTTGCTTGTTACTTAAAGTTCATAGTAATTACCGGTAAGTACAAACTTCAACAAGTCATAAGATTCTGCACATTAAAGTGTGTACATTTTCTGAATAAGCCGGCATTATACTTTTTATGATCCATAAATCGTGTGACTAAAATGATTCCTTACAAAAGCATATCTTGATTTGAGCTCACACCTTGTAGTAAGAATGATTCTTGAATTAGAAAAATCATAACTTTGTAAAAACTCTCATTTTTAGGATTTGATTGATGGATGCTTAAAGTCCAGCTGCAAATATTACATTCTTTTCCAGGTTATGTTAGTTAAATTTGTATTCCCTCTACTTTGTACTTGGCTGACATAAAGAGTCTTTTTATGTTTCATGTTCTATATTATAATTTTACAGGAAGACTTCGCCATATTTGGACACATTATTATACACCCTCTGTAATAGTATTTTTGTCAAGTGAATTAATCTCTTATCATGAGTAATAGGATAACTATAAATGGTATATGGGTTCCCTCCAAGTAATACATATCTGTCGATAGTGGTCACCTGACCTCATACTCATTTCATGGATCAGTGATTAAGTTTTAGTGGTTTGGTCGGTTTCTATGATACTATAAGCAATAGATCAGTTGTATATGGTGCATGTTATGATTTTTGGGTGTACACCACTGTCTGACACATATCTCCTGGCCTAAACCTTTTTTTCATGGTACAATGCACTATATTAAGCTTTGTTATTTTGTTTATTTTTCAGATACTTTAAACAATAGTGCCACTATATTTGGTGCATGGAATGATTATAAGGTGTTCATGTCTGTCTGGCAGGTTTCATATGGCCTTGACCTCATTTTCATGGTTCATTGGTTAATGTTCAGGTTTCATGGTTGTGTCTGTTTTCATAATACTATAAGGATTATAGGTTAACCATATTTGGTGTATGGAATAATTACATAGTGTTCACGTTGTCTGGTAGGGTCATCTGACCTGGACCTCGTTCTTATGGTTCATTCGTGTATGTTCAGTCTTTGTAATGATATCTGTTTCTCGGATGCTATAAGCAATGGGCTATCTGGATTTGGTATATGGTATGTTTGTAAGTTGGTCTTTTCTGTCTGGCAGGGTTCCTCTAACATTGACCTCGTTTACATGGATCATTAATGATGTTATGTTTATTTGATACTTGTAGCATAGATGTATAAACCCATAGATGAAGCTCAACACTGACTTCAAAGATTCTATGTGCGTTGTAATGGCTTTCACACTTATCTGATAATGACATGAACCAGTTGGTCATTGAGATGCTGATTGACAATCTAGACAATAGAAAACTGACAATCAAAAGCTACTTAGCAGTTAAACGTGCTAAAAATTAGAAATAAATAAAATCAAAATATATATTTTAGAATGACTTGGTTATGAAAAAATAATGTTCTTGTAGGTAAAACAATATAACAAATTATCTTGAAAAGAAATTAATAAATACAGATATCTTTTTCTTTTTAGCCAAAACTAATGTTTTCATCATACTTACATATTTACATTTTTAATTTTATATCTTTTATCACAATTTAACTTTATTTAAAACAATGTATGTTAACTATTATAAACAAGTCTATTGAAAATATGATTAATAGAAAACATGGGAAAAGTTGAATATATGCTCAATAATATTTATTTACCATGCTTTACATGGAATGTTTTGGTAGTACACTAAAACTCTTTACTTAAACTAATTTAATATTATATATAAAATATAAAATTATTATAATTTAGCCATAGATGTATAAAATACATCTATGATTTAGTAACTAACTTATTGGTAAAAATATAAAAATGATTTAAAAAGACAATTTCTCTTCTAAAAATGTAGAAAATCTGATGAAATAAAGGAAAGAATGTACTTTCTTATTATTTTTTTCCCAAATTCGACGCAGTTCGACACCTTAATGAAGCATATCAAAGAGAAGGTGTATTTTAGAAGTTGAACAACGTGCTTTTCCCATTTTCAGGAACTAACAGGAACATAGTTTTTATAAAATATAAAGATACAAGCCTTAAAAAAACATTTTTTAATTTAGTTCAATATTTTCCTTGTGAAATGCGCAATTTCTGACCGATTTCATCCATTTTTTCACCATTTTATTTGTCTGTCCAGTGCACTAAAATAGACATACTCTCACAACAGAAGGGACATAACTCGAGAAGACAATTAAGAAAATTTATTCTGCTGTACTGGTCAATACAGATCAACAGATAAGAGATGTAGCTAGAGTTACTTGATTGAGGACAACACACATGAAACATCAAAGACAGTCAATTTGGTCATGGTTCTTTTCATCTAACAATAGAGAACAGTAGGAACTCTTGACGAGCTTTATCTATGGGTTTATACATCTATGCTTGTAGTAAAACCTTTATATTACAGACTTTCAACCTAAGTTTAATAATAATAAGTAAAGCAAGCCAGACATTTCAGTGTGTGCACTCATGTATTTCTAATAATCTTCTTTTAACCAAATTATTGCGGTCTAAGAAAATGTCATGAAATGACAGTTTTCTCCCCATTGTCATCTATTTTCAGATATTTGTCAAAATTCCTGGCTCCACATATTGACTTGATATTTAGTATTTTCATATTATATAATAAATAGTTGCAGATTACATAGGTGTCAAAGAAATGAGTAGCGTTTCTCTATTTTTCTTCAGTGACTGTGAAGCTTTTACATTGTTGGAATGTAAATGTTTTTTGATAGATTGGTCTATAAGGAAGTACATTATACTTAGTTGTATTATCCCTGCACTATGAAGTATGGTTTCCCTTTTGTTTTAAGTTATTTTTTTCGTTTTTGTTTAAGATTGTATGTATTCTCATAATTGTTCGCTAGCTCGAAAAAACGTGATAACCTTATGTGATATTGTGGTTTTTAGTTATACCTCCTAATTGTTCGCTACAATTGTTCGCTAGCTTGAGTCAAGTGCACTTCAGATTCAATTTGATAATGAGGCTCCATCTGGTACAGTCTTGCTTCAGTAGCCACTTTGAAAGTTACATTGTACAATTATAAGGTGTGGTTATTAAGAAAAAGTTGAAATATTTATTGATATTTATATACCTAGTTCGAAAGTCAAATATCAACCCCTTCTGGGTCCTTAAAGACCATGTGAGCTTTTGCCATCATTTGGCGTCTGTCGTAAACTTTCACTGATACTTCTGAACCAATTTCAACAAAACTTGTGATGAATGACCGTGTTTATATTCCGATCAGTCAGCGAACATAAAGGCAATGTCTTATAGTAGAACACAAGGTAAAATGTATTGGTTTAAACAATATTTTATTCGATAAGTCAAATCATGCTATATAATATAATACAGTATAAACAATGGGATTCAGAAACAAGCAACATTGCTTATTTTAATCTGTCTCCAAAAGAATGTTGACATACAATATAATGAATACTTGGAGCATGCTCTGTCAATTGGAATATATTAAGAATAGTAAATACAAAATAAGATTGATTATATAGTTTGAGAAAAAAACAAAAACAAAAAACAAAAAACAAGTGATTGAAATGAGCATT